TGAGAAGCAATTCGGCTTTCGGAGGGCGGAGCACTGTGGATGCAATACGCCACGTCCGCTCCTTCTCGGAGGCCGCGTTGGAGGGGGGGGGGAGAGGTGGCAATAGCGGTATCGCTTGATATCGTGAATGCCTTCAACTCCCTCCCCTAGGGCTGTCTGGGGGCAGCATTCGAACATCTTCAGCTGCCCCCCTATCTTCGGGCAGTCCTGTGGGACTATCTCCGGGACAGGACGTTCTCGTATAGGAACGGGAACGGGGAGGTATGCGAAAGGGCTATGTACTGCGGGGTTCCACAGGGTTCCGTTTTGGGCCCGACGCTGTGGAATCTCGGGTACGACGTGGTGCTTCGGGCGGCTCTTCTTCCGGGCTGTGACGTCGTCTGTTACGCCGACGACACGTTAGTCATGGCTCGGGGGGAGGAATGGAGAGAGGCCGCGGCTGTAGCAACCGCAGCCGTGGCCAGCGTAGTGCGCGCTATACGGGGCCTGGGATTACAGGTGGCTCCTCATAAGACGGAGGCCCTGTTCTTCTATAGGAAGGCAGGAGGGAGACCACCCCCGACAACCATAAACGTCGGAGGGTCCCGTATCCCTGTGGGGTCCAAGATGAAGTATCTGAGCCTCACCCTGGATGGACTCTGGGAATTTACACAGCACTTTGATGCTCTTGCTCCCAGAGTGGACAGGATGGCGAACGCGCTGAGTCGCCTCCTGCCCAATCTCGGCGGTCCAAGTGCCAAAGTTCGGCACTTATACGCAAACACCGTCCGGTCGGTGTCCCTTTACGGGGCACCAATTTGGGCAAACGACCTGGGGCCCTATTCTTGAACCAGTTGCGCATACGCAAATAGCAAGTTGCGAATGATCGCAATGGGAAATCCCTAGATCTCTATTCTTGAAATAGTTGCGTATACGCAAATATCAAGTTGCGAATGATCGCAATAAAAAATCTTTAGAAAAGTATTCTTCACAGTCGCAAGTGTAGTCGTATACGCAATTTATCATTCGTAATGAAACGAATGGGTTATACCATACTTTTATCTCGAAACGTGTTATAAACTGTGAAAATATAGCGGAGAACAAACACACACACACACACATACATATATATAATAAATTAATATAAATTTATATAATGGATCTGGAAGATATAATATTAAATGTGCCAATTATAAATGCATTAGAAAATGCTGAAATAGTAGAACAACGAAGGAGAATTTTCCATATTAGGGACGATCCTTTTGAATTGGATAATAAACAATTTATTGCATTATTTCGTTTAAATAAAGCCGCAGCAAGATATATTATCGATCTTGTTGAACCGCATCTAACTCCTCAAACAAGAATATCTGCAATCGATACCACAACAAAAGTAATTATTCTAAAATTCGTAACACATACGTATGACATGCATAAACAAAAACAATAAGTAAACACCTATTTTTTTATAGATTATGACAGCATTGCGATTTTTTGCAAGTGGTTCTTATCAGATGGATATTGGGAAAAATATTTATATGGCTATCAGTCAACCAACAGTTTCCCGTTGCATTCATGAAGTAATAGATGTAATAACAAGACAAGAAATCATGAGTCAATGGATCAAATTTCCTTCTACTTTTGCAGAAATGAATGAACTGCGAAGAGAGTAATAATACAAATTTTCTATAATATATAAAAATAAATATGAAATGTTTATAATTATTTTGTAAACTTTTGTATATACTACAATATAAATATTATATTAATATTTTTTTTATTTCAGATTTTACAGAAGATTTGAATTTCCTGGCACAATAGGATGTATCGATTGCACCCATATTGCTATTTTTCCTCCAACAGGAAATAATAATCCTGAACATATATATGTAAACAGGAAAGGATATCACTCAATTAATACTCAACTAGTAATTATAATTGTAATATTATTTATTGTATATATTAGAGATGTCGTGTGATTCCATGAGAGCGACGGACTTGTAAGCGATTAGTCGCGAGTTTAAACCTCATATCCCGTATATTTTGTAATCTGTATTGATTTAGTAGAAATCACAGAACAACTCTTTAAATCTAAATAATTTTGATTAAGTTTAGATATGAGGACTAATATGGTCCCATTTGATCCCATTACTATTACTACTATGCATGTATTTAATATACAGGGTGTCAATTAAGTCCCGGGACGGCTGAATATTTTTTCATGTAAGGTATTTTTGAAAAAGGTCAAGGTCATTTCTGAAGTAATTTTCAACGAGGAATTCAACGGTGACCTTCAATTTGACCTTGAGCTTGACCTTCAAGGTCATTTCAAGGTTAGGTTAGGTTAGGTTTTTTAAATAGAAACCCCTATTTTTGATTCCAAAATCTAATAGCTGGTGTCAAGAGCTTTTCAAAACACTATAATAAAGTTATTTTTCATTAAGTACTTTTTGAGTTATGAGGCTTGTAATTTACAGTATTTTGACATAAAATACAAAATATCTTGTAAAACATTCAATTTTTGGGAATCTTACCTTAATACTTTTATGCATAAAATAATAAGACAAATCAATTGGTATAAAGAAAACACATAGTTGCTTTCAAGAAAAAGTATGTAGTTTGCAACATGCAACTGCATACTTTTTCTTGAAAGCAACTATGTGTTTTCTTTATACCAATTGATTCGTTTTATTATTTTATGCATAAAAGTATTAAGGTAAGATTCCCAAAAATTGAATGTTTTACAAGATATTTTGTATTTTATGTCAAAATACTGTAATTTACAAGCCTCATAACTCAAAAAGTACTTAATGAAAAATAACTTCATTATAGTGTTTTGAAAAGCTCTTGACACCAGCTATTAGATTTTGGAATCAAAAATAGGGGTTTCTATTTAAAAAACTTAACCTAACCTTGAAATGACCTTGAAGGTCAAGCTCAAGGTCAAATTGAAGGTCACCGTTGAATTCCTCGTTGAAAATTACTTCAGAAATAACCTTGACCTTTTTCAAAAATACCTTACATGAGAAAATATTCAGCCGTCCCGGGACTTAATTGACACCCTGTATATTTAGTAAAGTATTACAAATTTTTAAATCTTATAAGTGTATATTACAGTTATATATTGCATTTCATTACAGATCTGTGATTGGCGTCTAAAAATTATGAGTATAAATGCACGTTATCCTGGTAGTACTCACGATGCTTACATTTGGAATAATTCCAATGTAAAGAATGCAATGGTCCATTTGTACAGGCGATATCCGAACAAAAATTTCCACTTAGTAGGTAAGAACTCACGAATAATTTGTTATATAGTATAAAGATAAAGTATAAGAGAAAAATCAGCAAGTAGAACACATTGAAGAGAAAAATCTTTGACGCACATTTATTACACAAGACGATAAAGAACTTTTTTATTTATAAGTGTAATATATTATAATATGCTGTATAATCAGCTAATTAAAGGTTCCTACACTTTTTTCATATGAATTTTGCATGCATTGCCTATTCAATGTGAACATTAATGATCTGAAAATTACTAAAAAACATTTTTTATTGGATAAAATATAGAATACACTACAAAACTTACCCAAGAAAAGTTTTACAACCTGTCATCAATAAAATATATCAGCTCACCAATGGTTATATTTTTTTTACACATACTGCATATTAGGAGACTATATTGCAAATGTACAAATAAAAATATTAAATTCTTGCATTAAAATGTTTTTGTTTTTAGGTGATTCAGGATATTCCTTAAGGCCATGGATGATGACTCCCATAACAGATGCAGCAGAAAATAGTCCTGAAGCATTATATAATAAAAAGCAAATGAGATGCCGTTCGTTAATAGAACAATGCAATGGAGTACTAAAAATGCGTTTTAGATGCTTATTAAAGCATAGGGTACTACATTATTCTCCATCAACAGCAGCGAAAATTATAAATACATGTGCTGTATTGCATAATATATGTGTCAACGAAAATGTGCCATTAGATTTAAATAATGATGATGAAGAAGAGTTTGACTTTGGGATGAATATTAATAGAAATAACATTGAAGAAATTAATGCACCTGAAAGAAATATTCACAGAATCAATCCTGATTTAGCAGCTGGTAGAAGAAAACAGCGACAGATGATAAGAAATTATTTTTCTTGAATCATAATAAAATTAATATACTTAATATACTTAATATATTCAATACACTCACATCAGTATTATAAATTTTATTTTAATTATATAAAGTAAGAAATATGATAAAAATAAACGATTATTTATTTCTAAACATTTATTTTTGTAACATGACATACATATAACAATAAATGTTTGGACTATTTATATATTATTTTAAATAACATAATATTCTCGCATCTCAACATTATAACAAAAACAAAACATTTTTATATTAATATTTGATACGTAAAAAAATACTTATTTTGTGTGTGCGCGTATGTGTGTGCGTGTGCGTGTGCGTGTGCGTGCGTGCGTGCGTGCGTGCGTTCGTGCGCGTGTGTGTGTGTGTGTGTGTGTGTTTAAGTCTTGCTTAAAACCAAAATAACGCAAACGGATTTTAGCGCTACATCACAGTCTATCACATTTTTAACTAACAAATTGTTAAATTACATATTAATAACATTTTATTAATACATATTTAATTAAATTAATATTAAGTTCATTATGTAAACTTTGCTTCTGCATAGTTATGAAAAAAAAAAATGCTTTTTTACGTAGCTACATTTGAAAAAAAAGTATGTGTTAATGTTTCAAATAAAACATTAAATAAAAGATATTTAAGTCGTACGAACAAAATAAAAATAATTAATTATTTGTTATATCGGTTATGTTTTAGAAATAACAATTTTATGAAATTAACTCTGAATAAAATTATAACTCGCATCTTTGTCCTCGTGTAAGTGTTATGTATAAATTAATTTAATGATGAAAATATTGTTCAAAAATATTGGTCACTTTTTCAGTAGCTTCCACAAACCTTTTTAGATATTTTATTTTACTTTCATAATAATTTTTCTTTAAATCGTATGTTTTATCATAAATATTATTTAGATGTGTTGATATTTCAATAGTATTTTGCAATTGTTTGCTTCTCGTATTTCTTCCTTTCTTTTCGTTAAATGGTGTTTGTTCTTCATTGTTATTTTGTTCATTTTGTGTAGAAAAATTAGCATTATTTTGTAAAAGTCCACTTTTTTCAATGGATTTATCAAATTTGGTGGTACATTGTTGATTATCTCTTATAATCTTATAATTCTTTGATGTTTTATCAATATTTTCTTTTCCACTTACTACTTTTTGCAAATTATTGCATTCTTTATCCATATTACTTTTTCTTTTTTGTGATGTTACAATATTGCATTCATTACTATTTGTATCAATATCATAAATCTGTGATATATTTTCTTCATCTTCATCTAAATATTCAACTTCCATTATTTGTTCCTGCAAATCAACATTTTACTTATTAAAAATTATACATTGCTCATATCATAAAATTAACACGTATACAATTTTTTAATTTGTATTATATTATGAAGATGTAACATTAACCACATCGATTCGGTATCTATTTTGATATGTGCTAGTAAATATTAATAATATTAAAAGTATTACCTCTGGAAGCTGCAATATATTTACAGTAGACTCTTCTATTTCGGGATGTCCATCAATGCTAGTTGAACACATTATATCCAAAACTTCTTCTTGTGTTGTTAATGATTCAGTATTCATTGTGCCACCACCTGTTTTTCCCATGGACTGTTTTATAATTGAATGTTTCTTCTTACTACGTGATTGAAAATCATGCCAACACTGAAAAATTTTGTATTAATTGTCATTAAATTCGAAATTGAAATTACTTTGCCAAACATGTAAAATGCAAAATTGTAATTATATTTGCAAATAATTTATATTATTACAAAAAGAAAACAATAACATTACTTTGCAGCAAATATTAAATGTTAAAAGATGATTTTAAATCTTTTTCTTTTAAATAATAATTATCTAAAATTTTGCTTCATTTATATAGCATTATTCTTACTTTTCGCCAACCTTTCCAATCTTTTTTTGTCCCATTAACTGCATTTAAAATTTGTGCTATGTTGTTCCACAATTGTATAGAATCTTTTCATGTGAAAGATGACGAGAATTTTCCTTTCATTAGCTGTGGATGCTTCTTCATATATTCAATTAATAAACTTCTTTGTTCATTTGTAATGTTTCCGCTTCTCTTTTTCCTCTGTAAGCTATCCATCTATAAAAATATTATTCAGCTATAAGAACATTACACAGAACATTTTGTGAATACATACATCAAATAATTGTTTTCAAGAATTATACAATACATATAAAAAACATCTACTTTTATAAAAAAGGTTTTTTTATAATTATAGAAAAATATATTGTTTAGTAATAAATGTATTTAATAATAAACTTCTTTACAACTTTCTAACCTAAATCTTTACAAATAACATTATTAAGACAAAAAATATTGTCAGGATAAAAAAATTACATATATTTTTTAAATACCAGAGAAACACATTTTTCAGTTCTATCAATTAGATAGAAGAAAACTAATTAAATATAATCAATTACCTTTTCAATCACTGTATGTAACATGTAACATTAACCTTCGCAGTACACTTTTTGTCCAATGTTTGTAGAAAGCTAATATATATTTTACAATGTTGCCAAACGTATTTCAGCACCATGAAAAACGTATACGTTTCCAACTGCAAATATTACAAAACAGTACTCAAGAATATAACATGAATAGCGTATACGCTTTTTCGCCGCTTGCAACGTGCGTATACGTAAAGTTGCGTATAGATTCAAGAATAGGGCCCCAGGGCGTCAAGTACGCTCGACGGGAGTACGAGAACGCTCGCACTAGAGGCTTTGAGGCCGAATATGTTCGGCGGACGTACGAGAACGCTCGTACGAGGGCGGATTTAGAGCGGCGATCTGACTAAGTACAAGGGAATGCCCTGTATACGAAGATCGGTGCCTGGAGGAGCCGAGTACGCTCGACGGGTATACGCATAGAGATATAAGACTAGAGGGAGCGAACGAGCTGAAAGAGCGATATAGCGATAGAAAGAGAACGCCGCATAAGGGCCCCTCTGTCTTTGTTTATGTGCGCATGTGCAGATCATGGAATATATGCGTGCGGAGCGTGCGCATATGTAGTAGATTGCTGTAATAAGTTTGTAATTTTGAGTAATTTTTTTTAAGGTTATCTTTTCAAACTGTTCAAAAGGTTAGAACCTAAATGCGTTATAGACAATGAGCAGCACAAAAGCGCATGCGCGTATAGACAAAGACAGAGGGGCCCTTATGCAGCGTTCTCTTTCTATCGCTATATCGCGGCCTCTTACGTGCTAGCATACGACTCGCTCCCTCTAGTCTTATATCTCTATGGGTATACGAGAACGCTCGCATCGGAGATAGAAACGGTATCGAGGACGCTCGTGTACCTGGAAAAAGGCATAGAAGCCGAGTACGCTCGGCGGACTACGAGAACGCTCGCAGCAGGATTGTTCGCTGTCTAGCAGCGAACAGGATCTGGTGATTAGGCGTACAGCCGGGCCTCTTTTATACCCGGCTGGCGGCCGACTGACTTCGGATCGGCAAGCATCGGCGGTTTCGGCGGCGAGCCCCCCACAAAACGGATTTTCGGAACAGTCGGATGTGGGGGGTTTTCGGCGATTGACCGCCGTTGTTATGACAAGAAGTTTATCGACGCTCGATGCGCCCTTGGTGGGCTACAGACGATGGTCGGTCCGTAGCCGTAACGATGCAGCTTGCGGGCTGCACCGTTACAAATGCACGGATCGCGAAACAGAAATACCCCTTTCCGGTCATCGAAGACTGCATCTCGCGGCTCGGTGATAAGGCGATATTCACACTGTTAGATATGAAAGACGGCTTTCATCAAATATCAGTGCATCCGTCGGACACAAAGTATTTTTCGTTCGCCACGCCCGACGGGCAATTCGAGTATACGAAGCTACCGTTTGGCTTTGCCGACTCACCGGCGGAGTTTCAAAAAAGAATCGTACAGATTTTACAACCGTTGATTAGAACAGACAAATTAATTTATATCGATGACATACTCATCGCTAGCGATACGGTAGACTCGAATTTGCAAGTTCTTAAACAAACACTGATAGAACTGAAAAAATACGATTTTGAATTAAACATTAAAAAATGTCAGTTCCTTAAAAGAAAAATAGAATATCTTGGGTATATAATTGCGCGCAATTCGATAACTATTTCGGATAGACACACCGAATCAATCTCTAAATTTCCGCAACCGAAAACCGTCCTCGAATTGCAACGATTTCTCGGCTTAACAAATTATTTCCGGCGGTTTATCAAAGGTTATTCGCTAATAGCCAAGCCTCTCTATAATTTACTTAAAAAGGATTCCAAATTTGTTTTCAGTCCGGAATGCCGGCAAGCGTACAACGCGCTTAAACGATTTTTGACTTCGTCTCCGGTCCTCGCAATATATAATCCCGCCAAAGAAACGCAACTACACACAGACGCAAGTGCATACGGCTTAGGAGCAGTGTTCCGATTAGGGACCGGTTGTATGCGCATGTGCAACTCTGCGCATGTGCGGTAATGGAGATCCAGTGCCGTTATATGTTGTGTGTTGACCGTATGGCAAGACGTTTTGACATGAGGAGGTTAGGTGACTACAAATAAGGTAAGATTTATTTATTTACAAGCATAGAATCTATGGAGCCAGCAGCTAAAAAACCAAAAAGTAGAAAATTTCAATCAATTTCAAAAAATTTTGAAATATTTTAAATGTAGGGGGGTAACGGTACCTTGTTTAACTTGTATGAGACACTGTACTGACACCGTATTGCCGCACATGCGCATACAACCGGTCCCTAATCGGAACACTGCTTAGGAGCGATCCTCTTGCAAAAACAAGAGGAGGGCCAATGGTCACCAATAGCGTATTACAGCCAAACTACAAATCAGGCCGAATCACGCTATCATAGTTTTGAACTCGAGATGTTAGCAATAGTTCGAGCGGTGGAGCGTTTCCACATTTATCTGTACGGATTAACGTTCACCATAGTTATCGATTGTAACGCGCTCGTATACGCAATTAGCAAGGCTAATTTGAACCCGCAAATCGCTCGCTGGATGCTCGCTTTGCAAAACTACTCGTTTAAAATAACTCATCGACCGGGCAGCGGTATGGCATGCTGTCGATGCATTAAGTAGGCAGACGATGTACGTATCAACGCTACCGTTAGAACGAATCTTAGAATTCCAGCAGTTGCAAGATCCTACGCTAAAACAGATCGCGTTAGATCTAGAATATCGGGATAACAAAAAATTTAAATTGATCGAAGGATTAGTGTATCGAAAGGGGGACGATCGCGATCGTTTCGCCGTCCCGGAATCTATGGTGAACGCCATCCTAAAAACATATCACGATGAATTGGCGCACTGCGGTTATGAAAAAACCGTCAAAGGAATCCAACAAACGTATTGGTTTCCTGCCCTGCGCAAGCGCGTGCGCGATTATATAAACAATTGCATAGTTTGCCTGAGTGCGGATGCGTCAACGCACCGATTCGAGGGCGAGCTTCAAATCGAGGAAGCACCTAATGAGCCTTTTACCATTTTACATGTAGATCATTTCGGTCCGTTACAAACGACGGCCGATGACTACAAGCATGTTCTAATTACTATCGACGCGTTTACGCGATTTACGTCTCTTTACCCCGTAAAATCTACCAGCGCAAAAAAAGTTTGCGCTCATCTAACAACGCTATTTAACTTTTTCGGGATGCCGGGAGAAGTGGTAACCGACCGCGGATCGGCGTTTACTTCGGCCGAATTTTTTAATTTCCTCGCGGAAAGAAAACTTAAACTGCGCAAAGTCGCTGTAGCCTCCCCCTGGGCAAACGGAAAAGTTGAGCGCGTGAATAGGTTCATTAAAAGTTCTCTGGCAAAATTAGTAGAATCGCCAGACGAGTGGAAAGAGAAACTGCAAACGGTGCAGTACGTAATTAATAATACTTTTCATACGGCTCTCAGGTGCTCGCCCTCGAAGATCCTCTTCGGTTTCGACTAGCGAGGTCACGTAAACAAATAACTCAGAATCGAGTTAGAAAAACAAGCTAACGAATCTCTTTCTTTTGATCAACAACAAGATAATACTCGCGAGGTAGCGGTCAGGACGAACGAACGACTTAGGAAATATAATAAACTATATTACGATCGTCAACATAGAAAACCAACGGCCTACGCAGAAGACCAATATGTTATGATCAGGGACCTTCACCAAAAAGTCGGAACGAATAATAAACTGAAGTCGAATTACAAAGGCCCGTATGTGATTAAGAAAATATTAAACAAAAACCGGTACGTTGTCACGTACATACCGGGCTTCAATATCACACAACGGCCATATAATTCTATACTCTCGCCTGATAAAATGAAACCGTGGGACAAACCACTAAACAATACTTTGTAAAATTGATCAAAGGAAAGAGAATTCAACTGACTTTAAAATAAATTACTTGCGTTAAATATTATTACTTTAAATACTACTGCGTTAAATACTATTACTTTAAAATAAATTACTTGCGTTAAATATTATTACTTTAAATACTACTGCGTTAAATACTATTACTTTAAAATAAATTACTTGCGTTGAATACTATTGCGTTAAAATAAAATTACTTGCGATGCATATTGCGTTTAGAAAATTTTCTTGCGGC